TATATATATTTATATTAAAGAATTGAAATTTTTGTTATTTATTTTATAATACATTTCCATACATTTTTATTAGAGTACAGTTTATTAAAATAGATTATGATCCAGATAATAGACCATCAACAAATTTGTCGTATTATTATTTTTAAACATGATTTAGGATAATCTGTAATTTTTTTATCATTTTTAAAATACATATAAAATATCTTTTAAGGAAATATTTAACATAGATTTTAGGCGAATAATATCTATATACTTAGAGGAAAGGCTCCTATTATGAGATACCGAGTTCATTTTGGGTAAATGCTAGAAGTCTATAGAATTTTAAAAAGTAATAAGTCAAGAGAAGGGAATTTAATAAGCTTTAAGATAACATTACACATAAAATGTAATTCAAATTATTTTTTTTTTTTTGAAAATTAAAGAAATGTAAAAAGTGCAAATGGCAAAGTAAAAAAATTGTACTCCTGATATTAGATGCCCCGAAAAATCGATAATAAAAGGCAAAATATATTAATTGCAATTAAAAAACTTTATTTAATGTTTCTAAAATACAAACAAACAGAGCTAACGTGCGCGAAAAATTAGCATGCGATAGATTATACTCAGAATTCGTTTTCAGGTAGTTGGAATCAAGCATCGCGCAAATATAGGCACTTGACGTTTATTCCGATTGCCTTTTTTATTATTGTACAATAACATTTATATTTTAGCAACGATTTTTACTATAACATAACATGGGTTATTTCATATTAGGAATACCCTGGGTATCTCATATTAGGATTTCCATGCCTTGTGGTTTTACGATCATCAAATCTAACTTCTGTAATTAAACAATTCAACATATCCCGTATTTTTCTATTAGTACGATCTTACTCTATCACTACATGAAGAATTTATTGTCAAATATTTATTTATTAAATAATAAACAATGTTTAAAGGCTTATCTCAATGAAACTTGAAGACATCCAAATTTTAAAAATCTTATTTTACGATGACTACAGGCACAATCTAATAATAAATTTTCTATTATAGTTTTCAATCCAAAAATAATAAATTTATGGTGGAACCAATAGATAGCGTTTATTAGAGTTTAGCAGAAACGCCCCTACCTCATATTAAGCGCCTATCTCATAATAGGGGGCTTTCCTCTATTTTTGGTTGTATATAGTATCTCTCATAAATATTATTACAAATATGTAAAATTTATATAAAATATATATTTTATTTATTACATAAATTATGTTTTTGTTTGTAATATTCTTAATATTGTTTCTATTCAAATAAAAAACCAAAATCTTGATTTAAAAATTAATTTTTTATATTTTACACTTATTTTTAATTTATTTTGCAAAAACTGAATTATTAAAATTTAAATTCTTCTCATTATAAATACCAATTTTGATGTTTTTTTTATTGCAAGTCTATTACGTATCTTACTGTGTACAAAGCCAAAAGTGGAAAATAATCTTTCAACGTCTGCAAAGAATGCAACAGCTATATGGACTTGTATTGATAAATCAAACATAACATTATTTATGCTTTGGAAAGAACGCCATTATGATATTGGACTGACAAATACTGAAAATGTGTAGTGCATGTTACGTATACTATAGATTTTTACTACTGGCAATGTATATTAAAATACAAATTATATCACCGATGAAGTATTATAAAACGATCAAAAGCACTTTTTGACTTTCAAAAGGATCGGTAGAAACATTAGAAATCCCGCAATTAAAGAGCATCTCGAATTAGCATCTTAAGTTTTTATGATTCTTAAATCCGGATCTACAATAAATTTTTAAGCCGTAAGCCATAAGAAATGGACGAATCACAATCAATTATTTTCCTTGCATTCGAATGTAATTGGTCAATTTCTTACGGCTTAAAACACCCATTATAGATCTGGATTAAGACTTTATCTAACATGATCTTTAAATCAGTTAAAATACGAATAACTCACAATTATCAAAAATTTTAATGTTTTAAAAAAGTGTTTTAAAAGTACTATTTGAAACATGTTTCAAACATATTCAAGACGTATTTAAAATATGTCTGAAACATGGTTTTTAAAATATCGTTTAAAATATATTTAAAACATCAAAAAACATATTTTTATTTAAAAAAAAACACAATATTTTGTCCTTTTTACAAGAAACACAATTTTTTTATCATCCCTGATATAAATAAGAATTCTATACGGGAAAGAATATAAAAAAATCTGTTCTTTTTCCATTCCAAATTTTGAATTGTATTATACACTAATGTAATAAGTTAGTGAAACAGATATAGTTTGTTTCATTTTAATTTATTGCACTAGATTAGAATTAATTCAGAACTCTTTGAAAAAGGATCAACAAACCTAAAGTGCGCAGCATTTCATTTGTTCAACAAGCCGTTGAAATTGAGCTCCAACTTAACAATTTAAAAAATGTATCATCATTTTAGAGTACAATTTTGTTTAAAAATTAATTCAAGGACCTCTGAATCTAAAATTTTTGGAAAAAAATATAGTTTTATTGAACATATGTCGAATTTATAACATTATCCAAATATATAACACAGTGACAAATATATGACACAGTGTGAATGGAATTGTTAATAATTCTTTGAATATTACTCTTATATAATACAGTCCGTAAATATTTTGGGATATTTCAGAATACTCTTTGATGTTGTTTTAGGATTTTAGGAACATTTTAAACGAGTATTTCAGAAAAAAAATTTAGAGTTAGCTGGATTATTTATTTAATATCTGTATATCTTTTACTCTAAGTTATTTACTTTTACAAAAAATTTTATAATTTTTCTAAACCGACAACTTTTTAAATCTCCAATTTTCTTTAAATATTTACTTACTGTTATATTACATGCGAACAGGTTTCTCGAATTTGCAAATTATGTGTGATTTATGTGAGTGAAAAACTCAAAGGATCCCTAAATTGACACGATCGGCCATAAATATTCGCTTTCGTCTTTCAGTTAGAAACATTGTCGATCGCTACAACCTCAGTAGAAGGCAGAACAATGCGTGTTAACAGCGGTGGGCCATTGTTTCCAAGGTTTCTATCTTGTGCGACTCCGGCTGCTCTTCTGTCGGAGGATGAGGACGAAGTCCCGTCTCGAAACGCATTGAAAAGACAAGCGCAGTTGCTCGTTGATACCAAAAGTCGTCGTAAAGGATTCGCCTTTAGAAGATGAATTGTTTAAATCGTTCGAACGTAAAAACAGTCAGCTACTATAAAACTTTTCTTTTGGTCTATGTTATACAAAAAGTGTTTCATAATTTGCAATCAAAATTTTAATAATATATTTTTTACTTAAAAAGAAGACAAAAATCCTAATATGTCGAGAATATAGTTTTCAAATTAGTAGCAATTAAAGTTAATTAATCGCAGAGCTAATATTTCAGTACGTTTATCAATAACGATACATACATTATACAAGTGGATGTTTTTACGCCTATGTTCATTCCTTATGAAATTGAAGTAGTTATCTATAAAATAATGTTAAAATGCACTAATCACATTATTGTATTATGTAATTTCAGTGAAATTATGCTCATTCGGCGCGTTTTTGCAGGAAACAAAAAATCTGGCAGTAAAATGTTGTACCTAGTCCCGCGAACCGAAATATTAAGCGTTGAAGTTGACGACGATTAAGGATAGGAAACCTGCAAAATATAGCGATGAAAGCATGTACTGCAATCACATTTTCATGCTTTATGACTACATGTGCATACGTTTTTTACTAACTTGCTTCTACAATGATATATTAACGTTTGTTTATTAATATTCAAATCGTCTTCCTTTCATCGTTTACAATTTTTCGCACGTAGCAAGAACAGAGCAGGCTTGAATTT